CTCCTATTTGGCACAACACAATCAATTTACATACTTCCACAACATAATTCCTACACTTATTACTGATTCATGATAAGAAGAAAGATATTTTAGTATTAAATACTTTTCTTCTACAAAAAATTTAGTTATTTTTTTTAAGTTGTTACTATTTAGTTAAAATAGCAAAAATACCAAAAATATTTACATTTTAAATTCCTGCAAAAATCATTTTTAGTTTAAGTAATTATCTTTTTAAAAATAAAAAAACTTTCAAAAAAGTTCATGTTGCATAATCTTCTCTGTGGGTTCGATATTCAGGTCTTAATTAAAAAGTCATATATTACTTGATAACAATACGCATTCTTATGTAGTATCCTAATATAAAAATATATATAAATTAAAAAGTTAAATTCTTATTTTTCTTTAGAATCAAACTTTTTGTTTTGTTGCAAAATAAAGAAATATAAGTGAAAAATACCATCAAAATTATTGTTATACTGTGCATAAGCATTAAGTATTCAGGGATCAAGTTTTTGGCGCCATTACTGGGGATTAAACTGGGGATTAATTACTGGGGATTAAAATCTTCAAGTAGTGGTGTCAACTTCATAAATCCTTACACATACAAAATATCAGGATCAATTTTTGGCGCCGTTGCTCGAGGATAGAAAGAAAGAAAACTAAGTAAATTTCTATTTTTAGAAAGTTTTATTTAAACTTTAAATATTGTATCTTATTTTGTATGTTTAATTTTATTTTATTTTATTTGATGTTAGTGTATGCGTAGTTTAAGTTCTGAAGGACTAGTGCCCTGCAATTTTGAATTAGAAAGAACTATTAGAAAAATCAGAAAAACCAAAACAATGAAAAATCTTGAAAAAACCAAAATAAACAACATGCTAAAATTTATCAAGAGTTTAGACCTTTAAGAGATTATGCCAACCCTGTTGTAGATGAACTTCATTGTAGTATTCAAAAACCTGCTGCAGTGGCTAATTCATTTGAGCTTAAACCTGCTATTATCTAAATGGTATCAAATAATTAGTTTGAGGGATCACCAACTGAAGATCCAAATTTACATCTTGCCAATTTTTTAGAATGGGAGCACCAACTGAAGATCCAAATTTACATCTTGTCACTTTGGTAGAATTATGTGCTACATCTAAATATGATGGTGTTTCAGATGATGTTATTAGACAAACTTTTTTCCATTCTCACTAAGGAATAAGGCTAAGATATGAATAAATTTGTTAGCACCTAGATCTATCAGAACTTGGGGTGATTTAGCACAAAAATTTCTTGCTCAATATTTTTCACCATAAAAAACTACGAAGCTTAGAAATGATATTATATCTTTTAATCAGTTTGAAGGGGAATCTATTTATGAAGCATGGTAACGATTTAAAGAACTCTTGAGAAAGTGTTCACACCATGCTATGTCAGATTGGTTAATAATTCAAACCTTTTATAATGGATTAATTGGTTCTCTTAGATCTGTTATCGATCCAACTGCTGGTGGTTCATTGATGTCAGAACCATTTTATGACGCTTATGCTTTAATTGAAGATATGACTATCAATAATTTTCAATGGCCTTATGGGAGGGTAAATCCAAAGAAAGTAGCCAATATTCATGAAACTGATGCATTTACTATGTTAGCAAATCAAGTTGCTGTAATTTCAAGGAAGTTAGACCATTTTAGAATGAATTTTCTCAACCAATTTCTATGATTGAAGAGAATTCATTAGGCTAAATGGTAGATTCTCAGGCATCATTAGAAATTTTAGATGTCATACATAATAAGCAAAATAACCCATATTCCAATTATTATAGCCCAGGTTGGAAGAACCATCCCAACTTTAACTGGAATAACAATTCGGGTGGTAATAATCAGCAATGGGGGAACAACCAAGTAAACCCATTGGCAAACTGAAACAACCAAGGGAATAATATTATAGATCTACTTATTCTCCGGGTATCAACAATAATACATAATTTAAGGATAAGAA